ATAAGTGGATACTGATCTGCTACATACGAGATCAAACTGTATCGCAGAAGGCGGTCTTTTTCACGAATAATGGTAACTTTAGATGGGGATTCGCGCAAACCCTTAATCATCATTAACGTTAAATAAACCAGAAATTCCGGTTTATTTGGATAACCAGCCTTACTATATGACGATGGGAGGGATAGGAGGCGAAAGCAGTTTTCAGTCGGAGTTGGGATTATCAGATTTCTTCGGAAAATTAATGCGATAAGTATTTTATCAAGGTATGCATTTAAACTTTTTAAAATATGTCTATCTTCGGATCGTAGACTAATATTGTATTCTCCGTTCGCGAAGCGCACGGAATTCTTGGACAACCTCTTGCAAACAAGTTCATCCCAAATTTTAGGGCGCCATTGAGTCCGTGGGGCATTTAATCCTGTTGTGATCAAGCCACTGTAACAACTCGATAAAATTACACCCATAAGACACCACAAACCAAAGATCATTCTGACATAATAAAACTGCCCTTTATCCTGGGGAATGTGACACTGTGAAAATAGAGTTCACGCACACGGACAACCACAAATACGAAAGAGTAATATCAACTTTCAAATATATTGTCACCATGAGCACATTTATAACTGCAAAACACGCTATTATTAAGGTAATCCATAAAGATGGTTGGAATGGGGTAAAATAAAATTTAAATGTTAAATATTCCTCGGTGTAACACGACAAGTACGAGAACCCACCCAATCCCTTCAGTATTACCGATGAATCATGGTCCGCACTTGAAATTACCCCTAACTTAAACCCTAAACTTAAAAGTATCGAGATACAAGTTACAAGTTACAAAATGTATCGACGATACTGTATCGGTGATACATGTATCTTCAAGATACAGTATCTTGCCCACCCCTGTTTAATGGCATGCTACATATTTATTGGTATTACATATGTAGCCACTTGACGAAATTAAAGTTGTGATAGATATTATAGATTCTAGCACGCACTAGGTCCCTGTGTTTCAATGATATAATGGGATTACAAATTAATTTTCAATAAGTAGATACACCGTGATAACGTTTCCAGGGGAAGGCGAAGAATTTCATAAAGGAGTCTGAAAAAGTAATAAAGTAAATGGTGTTGAGAGATTTCGCGTGGGTGAAATCATGCGATTCCATTCGTTTGGAAAGTTTATTAATTTTGTATTCACATCTACGTCCTAAGGGAGTCAAGGGAGAAAATTAAAAAAGTGTCCAATTCGACCGTTCACATCATCATCGTGGCGCCTTGACCTAATATAAGGCCAGTTAATGAACCCCTCACTTTCAAAATTAGACGTTGGTATCCAAACAGAACTATACAGGTAAAGTTTATTCGCTCGAAGGCCGACATACAAACAGGGAGGGAAATCAATCACAGTAAATGATTTCTGTCCTTTACGTTACTTAATTAATTGATTTGTGATAAATCCAGCGTACCATGTACAAAATTTTTTATACAATTCTCTGATTTTCATTCAAGGCAATCTCTATGTATTTTAATACTTGTTGGACCACCTGACGGTAAAATATATATGAGCACAATGCATGCATTTTTCAACAAACTGAAGGAATTTTGGTGTGAAATTCTATTTTTTGTGGCGGGTGGTTGACAGGGAGAAAATGGTGTTCGAGTAGGGCAGGTCGACGACCACTGCGGCCCTGCTCACCGAGCATGTCAAGAGCGTTGTCACAAAAGATCACTACCTTGACAAAATTTTTTTAATTTTTAACTTTTCCATCGTTCTCAACTCATCCAATTGTCGCCTCTTTAAGCAACATCAACCTCTCAATTACCGGTGTAAATCTCCCCCACATCTTGTTCATACATATCTTCTACATATTTCCCGCCTTTTAAAGAATGAATGGTTCATCCTCACGCGAAACCTCAAATTTCACCCTCGTTCCCAAATACTGTATTAACCTATTCTCTATCTCCTTCACTCTCGGTGAAAAGGCAAAAGCCGCAACATTTTTGTCACAATTTTTGAAAATTGAAAAACTTAAAGTTACTGTACCGAAATAAATTACAGTTGAGAAGCAACTGAACCTTATTTTAGCAATAAATACTTACATATGTTCGAAAAATTTTCTTAATTATAGTCATAGCCTTGTTTATCGTACGTTTTAGCGTAGCGGATTTTGAATATATGAAATTCAATAGAGTAGTGACTCACTACTAGTGAGAGCTATGAGGATTAGATTAATTTGTGCAAATTTATTAAAGCTGTTTTACCATTCGGTTAAAGTGATTTGATTTTGCAGGTCGAGAATCTCAACTTGAGATCTAATTGGGGGAGGGAAAAAAGTATATGGGTTAGGCTAGGTTATGGGATCGAATAGTTTACAAATAAATAAACTTAAAATGAAGCAACCAGAACATTAAAAATCTCTACACGACTCGCTTATGTATATATGTACTATAATATAAATATGTATGTATTAAGCTTTGATTTCTTGATACATAAGAATTCGCATTACACAAGTGCTAAATATGTACATATGTACATAAATGCATTGGTGCATAAACAAACACATACTAATTTACGTATGTACAGATGTACATATGTAAATATGTACGTGCTGGACCTTATTACATATGTATGTATATACGTGTTTGTATTTATGTATATACATGTGTTAAAACCGCGTGACATAATCCTTGAGTGTAGTTTGCAAACATAATCAGTGTCGGTAGACATTATCTACAAAAGCTGATTCATCGTATTAGACTCAACTTTATACGTTCTATCAGCTGAACTGACGCGAGTCTGTGCAATATTTTTTATAGAAATTAGTCACTAGTATCTCTGGGAACATATATATGTAGAATAAAATTTTCATAATTGTCCGAATTATAATGCAGAAGAAAATTCCTTATGAGTGGGAAGGACTTATTTTGGGCGGTTCCAACCTGAAATCCTCCTCCAGTGTGATAACAAAAAAAATTTTGGTCGATAAAATCGACCTAACCCAATGAACAGTACCCAACATTGACAGTTGTGTCGCAAATATACGTCATACACTAGCACATCGTCTGAAATATTCCATCAAACGCAACCCTTAAAACAGTAAAATCGCGCTGCTGTGAGAAATGTTGTCCTACTGACCTGGAGATAGAATCATTCACCAAAGAAACGGATGGCAAATCTCGCACATATATCAAGGACAGTGTTTAAAGTGGCATTTACCATGTGGTATATACCAGTGGTAAATACCGGTATTTACCACCGAGCTCAAAAGTGTTAAAATGGTATAAACTGGTATGAAGTGGTAAAAACTGTCTTGGGGAATTGTAAGACGAATTTTCTCATGTAATCAAAATAACACAAGCGTTAAACATACATGGAATCGTGTAACAAACGTCAGACGACTTACGACGACTTACATATGCATGCATACAAATGTAAGTTCAAGCATAATTAATTTTCATGCTATGCTAAACAATGTCATATTGTTCGTTTTACCAGGACTCCTTCCGCTCCAGTAGTTTCTTCCCGATTTATGAATTTCAATGTACCACCTTTAGTTACAAATATTAACTATTTATGAAATTAATACCCAAGTCTGCTTGGCGTGTCATTGTCTTATGCAGGAAAGGTGCAAACATGTGTAACTTCCTGATAAATAGATATTTAAATCTTCTCGTGCAATTTATAATACATATGTCTGAGTATAGATTGAGTTAAATAATGGTGATGATGAAAAACAATATCCAGTTTGACTTTCCCAGAGTGGAAATCAACCAATCATGGGTTTTTACCACTTGTTAACAATTAATACCACTTTGTACCACTTTGTACCACTGTGATGGTAAAAATCAACCAAGTTGGTAAAAGTTAAAACACTGATCAAGGATGAGTGTACAGCAAATATTTGGGAATTTTGGTGAACGTACAAATTTCAAAATTGCAGTTCATTCCGTCAATCAGATGCACATTACGAATCGGGAGACGAATTCGAAACATATTTGCCAAAAATACATGTGTGGTCGAAAGTCAGATTTTTTCCACACAGGGATGAAGGGATGCTGTATGTATAAAACTGTACTAGAAAAATTATATTGTGTTATGTGAAACGAGGAGAAAAAGTTCCCAAAGATTTAGAACTTTAGCTGGAAAACTTTTTTAACAAGCACGTGGTTGTTGGCGCATTATCCGTTCACGGGGTCATACCATTGTCCTCCCTTGCAAAAAACGTAAAGAAGAATGCAGGCTGATATGTCAACAAAGTTTTGAAGCACTTTATGGACACTCATCCCCGCCGTATTAATCGTTATGACCTGCACAAAGATTGAATTCGTAATGAAAGAGTCTCCTCGTATGCGCCATACAAAACGATCCATTTTTCAGCGGAAATGAGTGGGACCCACAAAATAACAATTATGCCGTCTGCAGAAACGCATGTCAAGTCCCTGGGCATAAGTTAGATGAAATTTTTCGGATTCGCGTACGCAGGGCAATGACTGATGTAGCGTCGCGAGGGTACACAAAATTGAGTTTGGAAACTCCAAAATCAAGAGCGGCGGAAACTGACCCCAGAAAATGACCTAATATGATAAAGACATGAAAAAGGCGACTTCGATTTACTAGTAGAAGCGATGGGCGACATATTGAGCAAATTCGGAACATTCATGCTCGAAAGCTAAAAGGTGAGATATCGATGCAGAAGTGAGTCTAAAAGAATGAATCAGCTTTTGTATCTTACTTGTTTATCGATCTTATGGGGTAGGTTGAATATGGCTCGAAGGAACAAACCAACACAACTAAATATGTGAATAATTCTTTATGCGTAGGTCTTTTTCATTTTTTCAAACACTTTCAAGAAGCAAGATATGACAATTTCTTCGAACGCGGTACAGACACATGAATACTAAAAAATGATACCGCGCAAGAACAAGAACTCGTAATTTAAGGACTTCCTAAACTAACCAGTATAACCATAAATTTCGAGACAAGTTCTTATTTACATAAATTTCTTTGAAACGATTTGAGAAATTTATTAGTTTCTTTGTGTATGGGATAAACAAACTATCTGGTAATATTATACTAAATTTACCTTTCGAAATTGCCACAGCTGGCCTTAATACAGGCCCGATGTCCAGACGACCAACTGTCTATCGCAGCATATACGCTTTCCGTTTGATATTCGGCCGTCACTTTAATAAACAAATATTTTTTAGATTGTAAACGTGTGTTAAATTAACGGCAGGCCTTGATTTCCAACTTTCAAGATATGTCGAAGATTGGATCGCAAATTACGGAGGACAAACATTAAGGGAAAAAAAGTTCTAACAAATATTCATGACATGAAGTTTTTAGAATGTTTGGTTTATGGGTAGGATCCGGGACCTGTTTAAGGTTAAATGTTAATTTCCTTATAGAATTGACTCCTTAAATTAATTACACACTTAGACTTAAGAAACCAATAGTGCATTAATTTATTTCAAACAAATCATTAGTTGTTAATTGAACAGAGAGATATCTAATGGGGTAAATCAAATTTAGCGGTGCAATTAAACAATCAAACTGTTATTCAGTGTGCTCTAAGAATTAGGAAAATAAATGTTATGGAATTAAATAGGGAGGTTAAGCAGGAGTACGTGATTGTAAAAAAGTTACTGTAGCCTACGTTTCAATTGGGGAGATCCACTGCTTACTCTCGTCGTCGTCAAAAACTTGCCATCCGAAAAAATTTCCTCTCTAATATTTTTCCAATTTCGTAAAATTTTGATAATTTCTGAAAATTTTTTAAACTTTTTTAAAAATTTCGATCAATTTCGTAAAATTGTGACATTTTGTTAAATTTCATAAAATTTCGACACTTTGCTACATTTTGGAAAATTTTGAAAAATTTCGTCTAATCTTTGTAACATTTTTACAAACTTTGCAAAACTGTGACAAAATTATAAAAATGGTGGCAAATTTTGTAATTCTGACAAATTTTGACAGATTGTGAAAAATTTTGACAAATTGTGAAAAATTTTAAAGTTTTGAAAATTTGGACACATACACACATATGGACCTGTATTATCGTAGAACGTTCTGTGCATTTTTTGAGGAAATTGATCAGAATTTCAAAATTTTACAAAATATTACAAAATTGTACAAAATTTATCAAAATTGAAGAAGTATTGGAAATGAAGTTTTTCCAATGTCAACTTTTTGACGAGGACAAGGAATAAGAAGTCGATCTTCTCCCTTGACATTTAATGCTCTCCATGGTCAAAATCTCATCACAAAAATGGTCATAACTTGACCAAAAGTGATTTTGACACGGAAATTTTGTCACATCGTTGGACTAGTATTAAAAGATACATCGAATGCGTATAGTGGTTATACTGGGTGTCCAGGGCACCTCGCGAGTATCCCTTGTTAGTAGAAGCATAAATTCTGTCCAAAAATTTGGAAGCCCAGCAAAACAGTGGATCCACAAATTTTAGGTTTATTTTATTAATGTTATTAGAATGTTCGTGCGATTGTCAATTAATCCTAAACAATTTTCATTGTGTTGCAGAAAGGGGTGGAAATGGCAGATGTCCTACATAATAAAACGTGCATAAATTTTGCATCACCATTTGAACGGAAAGAAAAAACCGAAAATTTTTGAAATTCTGAAAAACCCCGCATTGACCGAAGGCTTATCCACCGTATCATGACACTGTGTTAGGAACTGGTTGCGGTGATGGTGGATACCCAAAAATCAGTTTCGCTTTCTCTCGCTCGCTGATATGGAAACTCGTATTGTGTCTCATTTTGCCTGTACTGCCTCGATACTTTTATCCACGATACGATACGATACTTCTATCTTTGGACAGAACTTATGCTGCAACTAAGTATATTGCAACTAAGTATATTGCAAAATTTCCTTACTCCGTTTGGACGCAGGCACTTGCAAGTGCCACCTCGCGAACACAATTTCCTTAAGTCTCCATTGCATTCAGGACACTGACTAGTTTCCTGGCACTGGAATAAATGTGGAAATTGTTATTATCCTTTTGTATTGGCTGATGTAATTATGCGAATGTGTATGTAAATGCAAATACAATTTTTTACGGAGGTTCTGTAGTGTGGATATTCTAGTCTTATAAAATCATTGGAGCGGCTAAAATGGGGGAAAATTAACCCTTTTTTTATTTTTTATATTTTATATTTTTATGTTTTTATATTTTTTACTTATGGATCCTACGAGGCATTTCATAGCCAACAGGATCTGAGAAAATTTAACAACATTTCCATCTTACATATGTACATACTGTATTTGTAGCTGCTTTCAAAAGAATTAACTCATTAATTCTTATTACGTTACTCAAATTCTCATTACGTTAATTAGGAGTTCGTAATTGTAATGAAACAATTATTTACCTCGAAACACCCGCAAACGTTTGAGGTACACTCTTTATAGGGCTTTCTTGCTGGACAGATTTTGTGGGAACAGTCCGAGTTCGCAGTGCACTGTGTCAGAAATTAATATAATATGGAATACAAACTCGTGCATAAAACAAGTGAAATAATTTACCTCGCGACAAGCACAGATGTTGTTCTCACATTTTCTGAATGGCGTGTTTGCTGTGCAGTTAACCCTGGAGCACGCAGAATCCGAATTGCACTGCAATACATATAGAGGGAGTTTATAAACATATGTTCAAGTTACATATCAACATTTGTATATAATCAACTAATCATATTATATATAATCTTTATTTCAATGAACGGTCGCATAGAGTAAATCAGCTGCATACCTGAAACCTACAAGGAGTGCATTGCGTACCAAACCATCCTCCCAAAATGCACTTGCTTTGTGCGCCTGGTCCACATTTACGCCGAGCTGTGCATGTTGCGTCAGTTTCGCACTAAAACAAAACATATTTAGCGATTATCTAGCCCAGTTCTCGTTACGCACGGTTCCAATTAACGATGGCAATGGCCATAGTATTGAAAATGTATGCAGTCATTTGGACACAAGCATTAGACAACGCGCGAATCAACCAGGAAAATCATCTGAGTTGGTGCCCTTTGTGAAGGGAGAACGGGAGTTAAATGAAAGTGATTATACCAATAAACTTGCAAAGTCATTGCCCCGAAGGGAGGCTAAAGTAACTTGATTGAAAGGATGTTACATCCCCTACCAATTTTGTACTTTAAATTCTATTTTTAGAACGGCCGGATACTTTTGCCGACACCAATTTCAGATTTTGTACCTACTGTATGTACTACTGGATACAATTCACATCATATCGTAAAATGATATGTCAAACATTGATACGCATTAAATTCTGCATTTATTTAATTCGCTGACATCAATGCGAAACAGATTTGCACCTTAGGTTTGGTATTACTCACAAATAATACATACATATATCGTTACTCTTACCGTGGCATAGCATGAACATCTACCGAAAAGTGTATCACAATGGCGTGTCATTTCTTCATCGCCGCATGTACAATCCTCATTAACTGAACACTAAATTAAACACAGCACAAACGTGTATGCAGAGGTGGTCAATATACATTTATATTCAATATACTTTGCCATCGTGCACGAATGTTTAATATACTATTGGAGTATACTATTGGAATATACTATATAAGTTTATTGGATCTAATCAATATAATTTAATAATTTAAGTTTCATTTATAGATTTTTAACTTTTTTCAATAAAGTATGTACAATATACTTTTAACAAAAGTACCTAGTGGGGCCAGCTCAAGTGTAAACGGCTGATTTTTAGGAAACCACGTGACTGATTTGAAATCCGGTAAGTGCTCTAGGAACTACATCCAGTGAGGTATTATAAAAGTGTTTGAGCTGGATAAACTGGACCAACAGGTCAGGGTGGGGGGAAGCTTGGAACAGAAACGAGCGGCGATCATTTATCACTATGAAAATGGGAAACGAAAAATCGAGATGTTCAAAGTGCTGAAAAAGTTGAATCTCGATTACAACTTGGTCAACCGTACAATAAAAAGATTCCAGGAGACAGGGTCTACTAAGAAATGTAAAAGAAAAAATCCCACACGTCCGAAGAGGACCCCTGCAATGCTGAAAGAACTGAAAGAAACAATTCGAAGAAATCCCGGCCGCAGTCTAAAAAAGTTAGCACTGCAAATGAACGTGTCAAGACAAACCATTAAGAGGGCACTCAAAATTGACCTTGGACTCAAGGCGCTAAAACGGGGTAACTGCCACATGCTAACAATACCGCAGAAGGAAGCCAGAGTCAAAAAGTGCAAAGCTCTCCTGAGGCGGCACGGTGTCAAGAAAGTCGAACGAATCCTCTTTATGGATGAGAAGATCTTTACCATCGAGGAATCTTTCAATTAAAAAAATGACCAAATCCACGCCAAGTCGGCTAAAGATGTCTCTCATTCAAGCAAAAACGAAAATGTCACATTACCCCGGATCGGTGATGGTTTGGGCTGGAGTGTGCCATTTTGGCAAGGCGTCGCAGCATTTGGTCGACAGGGGGTCAAGGTCATGAAAAAGAATATTTAAAAAATGTCCGACAACTCGTGATGAGCCCCGTTTATCAATCTTAGTCCAAGGAAATCGAATGAACCTTTTGTAAACATTCAGCAGCGGCTTAGAAGACAAAAGTCGTGATAATGTGACTAAAAACCATATTTTCGACGTCATTGTTCCATTATAATACCCTTCAGCCGAGCCGGACATGAAGTCACTGCAACCTGGCATATTGTCATAGCTGGGGACCAAGGTGTGTGGAAGACCCCAAAGAAGTGTCGTGGCCTTAAAAAATTCTTTGGCCCGGGAATGGGAGAATTTGTCAATGGATTTCGTGCGTGCTTCCATAAAGGAGTGGCGTCCTCGTCTGCAACGGTGTATTGCCGCTAGAGGAAATTTTTAAATATAAAAACTGTTTCCTATTCAAAATTTTACTGGCTTTCCAATAAAATCAACCAGAAATTGATAAAGTAAAAAATAAAAAAGTTACAGTATTCGAACTAAGTTACACTTGAGCTGACCCCACCAGGTATACATATTTTAGATTCGTGCATGATGCCAAAATGGATTAAATATAAATGTATTTTATATTTTTGCAAAAGTGAAATGTTTCGCCGCCAACTCACACATTCTCGTTCACCCCACCTGTGTTACTTCCACCACCGAGTTGCAATGGGTCTGTCCTAACCAGGCAGGACTATATAAGGAATAATATCGTCCCAGTATTAAGGAAATTGTCAAAGGTCATAATTTTCCAAAACGTTCAAAATTCGTCCTAATTGCCTTTATTTTTCCAACATCTGTCAAACATGTCACACGCCCAGTACTTAAATTGGCCTCCTCAAAAATTCAAAATTCACTTCCTAAATCCTCCAGCACAGTCCAATGTAAGAAAATATTCAGGACGAGTTGAGCTGGCAAAAACAAAAAATAAAACTAGAACGAAATCCGTGTGAATTGAAAATTTATTTTCTTTACAAAAAAATGATCGGGGACACTTTCATAATTTTTCAAAAACTAAATCGATCTTTGGCGTCAATTATTCTGTGCGACTACTATTATCAAAGTTGCAGACTGACGGTGATTACATGATGTAAATAAAGTCCCGCATACACCCCAAAATCTTGCCCGCCACTGTGGAAAAGTGGGTGTAACTCTTTTGTTTCTGTGTTTCTGTGAGTAATATTTTTAAAGCATGTCTACCAAACGTTTATCTTCGCGATGTGCAAAAAAGGGTCGAAATCCAGACACTGCTGGGAGAGCGATAAGGCGTGAGAGAAATCGCTCAAAATCTGGGAGTTGATCGAAACACGGTCAGGTTGTGGAGGAACAGAGAGTCACCGAGTGAGGCAATTGATCCTGGTCGACCCACCATAACATCCCCAACAACTGAGAACATGACTAAAAAATAATGCACCGAAAATTGGGTATTTCAGTAGGAAAGTGTTCGGCGGCCCTAAATCTCACAGAACGGTTCAGGCGTTTGGAGAAGGAAATCAGCCCTTCCGTCGTTCAGAATCATTTGAAAAGTACTGACTGGGGCCACAAAGCATTCAGGAGTCCGACGAAACTAGTTATGCGTACCAAAAATATTGCGAATCAACTAAAATTTGGCGATATTACAGAAAAAACGGCTATTTTACTGCAGGCGCAAGGGGTGCAGAAAAGCTCCGAGCGGACGAGACATGGATATACCTTCATCCTCACGTGAACCCCCAGAATACAAGGTACCCAACCGAGAATGAAACCAAGTCCCACCTACGAAGGCTCCGAAGAAAGGCCTCCAACTAATGGTTACTGATGGGTTCTGCTCCCGAGGCGTGACGGAACTGTACTAAAAGTGAGGCTTTAAGACTAGAAAGTTACCACACCACTCGGTAGCATTAATTTTGCGACGTGACAGACCAAAAAAATTTTTTTTTTCCAAAATGGTCTAAAATGTAACTCCGCCATAGATATGGTGGAGAAAAACGTTTTGTGACCTCTAGGTCACGTCATCAGGGTAAATTTGACCTCCAAAGTGTCAAAAATCCTTCCCTCATGACCCTATACAAAAGGGGTACCAAATTAATCACCCGGTCAAGGGGAACCCGAAAAAAATTATTTCAAATTTTTGTGACCTGTAGACTATTACGTAACTTGAAGTTACGTAATTCGTCGTATGGGGGAAGGGGGTGTGGCCCGAAAAAAGCCAAAACATGAACCCAATAGAACATCTTTGGTCTTATCTCAAATCCAAAGTTCATGAGGAGCCAGTTCCACGTGATCGGGTATGTTTACTTCGTCGTTTTCAAAAAGTTTGGAAAGAGATTCCAAAAACAACTTTGGAAAATGTTGCATAGAGTTTCAGGGCAAGAGTTCTGGAGGTGAAAAAAGCATCAGGGAGACCCACTACACACCAGGGAATGTTGTGGCAGTAAAAAAAATTCAAAAAAATTTGAAACCCAAGAAATATTGAAGCTTTCAACTGCATTGCAAGTGTATGCGGGACTTCATTTACACAGTGTAGGTAAATTGCGAAAAATGTCGAAAATTTTGTTCCACCATTTTGAACTGGATCGAGGATTTAAAAAATCATCATCATTATTTTCGTCATTCATTTATATAAAATTTTCGACATTTTTCGTCATTAGCCTCATTACCGTGCACTCTAAGCAAAATTTTGATCGATTTAACACCACCGGTGTCAATATGTGACTCCACCGGGACGGTGTTAATTTTGTCACAAGCTGATGAGGAAATTTAAACGGCTTGGTTACAAATCTTCACCATTCAGTTTTGAAATTGTTACCACTCACAAGGGATGGTTCCCGACTGCTTGTTGAGTCCAGGGTACCCACTATGCTTTTTAGAATCTACCAGGGCCCCAGATGAAGGATCCATTCATATTTCCGTGTAAAACTCATATTTGGCGCCATGGCGTGGCGCCAAACCTTTTAAATGGGATTTTCGACCAATTTCGAACCTTCATAACTTTTGAAGTTTCAGCGCGATTTTCAAAATTTTTGGATTTAAATGATCACAAAAATCGATATTTCAAGAGATAATTAAAAAATGAATTTTTTAAATTTTTGATATATTTTTAATATTTTTCGACAACATCCTTGTCCGAGTAAAAATCGAAATTTCTAAAAAAAATGCGACAAATTAATTTTTGTTGGCATGCAAAAACTTAACTCTTTGTGATCATTTTAGCGCAAAAATCATGAAAATCGGTTTATAATTTCAAAAGTTATGGCGGTCTTAAAAACAAAAACATGCGAATATGGCGAATTTGGCGCCACGCCAAGGCGCCAAATGTGAGTTTTACACGGAAATATGAATGGATCCTTCATCTGAGGCCCTGGTAGATTCTAAAAAACATAGTGGGTACCCTGGACTCAACAAGCAGTCGGGAAGCATCCCTTGTCAGTGAGATTTCATCACTACCTTGTGACAAAATTAACACCGCCCCGGTGGAGTCACATATTGACACCGTCGAAGACAATTTTTAAGCGAAGATTTTTATTTTGAGTATTGATTTAAATGAATAGAATACGGAAAACTGAATAATTGTCAAAAATACAACCCCAGCCGGGAAACGAACCCGGGACCACTGCTTGCCGGGCAGTTGCTCTACCACTGAGCTACAGAGGCGCATCCTTGACAACTTTCAGTTTTATTCTCGTATTTAATTGCAGTCTTTTTCTGTGAATTTCTACTTCTCTATAGCTACAACGAACTGTTGTTTTCTCCACTACAGAGAAGTTCACTTTTCGACTTGCGATGGAAATGGTCACTTTTTATACTCTGTCGACCATGGAATTTATTTTTAAGCGAAGATTTTTATTTTGAGTATTGATTTAAATGAATAGAATACGGAAAACTGAATAATTGTCACAAATACAACCCCAGCCGGGAAACGAACCCGGGACCACTGCTTGCCGGGCAGTTGCTCTACCACTGAGCTACAGAGGCGCATCCTTGACAACATTCAGTTTTATTCTCGTATTTAATTGCAGTCTTTTTCTGTGAATTTCTACTTCAATTTTGAATAAGACAATTTTGTTTAGAGTGTGGCGACGTGAGCTTTGGATCAACAGGGTTAGTTAACGAACTCCCCCTTACTTTCAAAATTAGATGTCGATAACCTAAGGCAGAACGTGTAAATGTTGAGCCGTTCAAAAGTTATCGTGCTTACATACAGACAGACAGACGGACCAATCCTTAAAGTTGCGAAAGCAGGTGGTGGTAACAAAGTAGCGGAAGTACGTGTGGTGCTACATTGTCTGACCCCATTATAAAACGGCACAGTACTTTGGGGAAATTTCAAATTTACACTGATAACAATGCGTGGGCGAAGCAATTTTAAGTCCTATTATTATGTCTGCTCATTACTGTACTTACTAAAGCAGGGTGCTATTTACATATATATGTATAATAAATAGATAAAAAAAATCTCAGATTTGTAAATCGCTCGGATAAGAAATATAGCATCACTCGGAAGTTACATAAACAATGTAAACGTTACCAGACGTATAAGTCCCCCCGCGACACAATTGCATTCTTCCCTGTATCGATCGGCCTTGCAGAGTGTCACAATTCGGGATCGGTTACGATGGCAAAGTCTTTCATAGTTTGAGACGGCATTGCGAGGAAATTTATCACTTGGGCAGGCCTGAGTTCCATTTGTGGTACACTGTTCAAATTCATAGGTTAGTTTAACTTAAGAGTTTGTATTAAAAATTTTAATTTTTTCAATTTAGCTGTTGGCTTACGTAATTATCACCGGTGCAGACGCATTCCCTGCCCACCCTTTTCAGGATACAGCTGGCCGTTTCTCCCCCCGTGCATGACATCCAGTTACAATCAGTAACATCTTGACACTATGAATTTGGATCGGATAAGTTAAGACTAATTATCTATGTAGTTATCCAATGGTACATTGTATATACACATATATTTTGTGTGAGTGGATGTATTTATAGAGTGGTCACCTGATTTTGCACGCATTGACAGCACTGCGATGTCCGATTACACAACGGCCCGCCGTTCAATGACAAGCCGGAACACCCACCATGATCAGGGCACTGAAATTTGTTGATGAAATTTGAGGTAAACATGTAATGTAAATAGTTGTGCGATGTATCTTCTCCACATTTTGAAAATTTGACCACACCCCCGAGGTCAAGATACATATTGTGGTATATACACATACATATGTATTAAGGTCACAGGATCAAAAAACATGTAGGCATTATTATATATGTACATCTAACAATCACATTTCAAAGCATAAAACTCGAGTTTCATATACAAAAAGATATCTCGACAGTCAGGTCATTCAAATTCGTCACTGGTCACATCTCAGAAGGGGTGTGGTCTGTGGCGTCTTTTCCATATTAATGAGAACCTCTCGTGGGACTTATCATTTCTAAAAGTAAAAATAATCTAACTACGTCAAAATAAGTTTGAGACCATGCCTCGCATTCATAATTCCGATTACGAGGGTGACTGACAGACTTATTACTTTCATTTGGATGATATGAAATTACATAGTGATTTTTTTTTTCAATTCACGTTAATGAGTGTGACCATAGATTTAATCATTCCGTCATTTTTGAGCGTATGCTTAATACATGGAGTGTATTTAAAAATGGGTAAAAATATGAACTTAAAGTACATGAAAATGAAGGGGAAATGAATAAAAATCGTCATTCAGAGATGAGAATGAATGGCGGTTACGTGAAAACTTAATGACAAAAAAGTTCCACTTCAAATTTGGAATTTGTGAAATCTTCAATCTCAACAATTAGGAGACAAATCGTCACCCGCAGAGATACTATACGCTCTATTTTTTGGGTAACAAGTTTGGAGACATTTTATGACCATTTTATCACCTTTTATTTCCAAAAGTCAAACAACAAAGGAAACATTTTGTCGAGATAGTGGATTTTGCAGGATTTTGGTTAAAAAATTTCAACCTTTGACACTGGTGAAGTTTTTTTCAAAACATGTCTGGCACCCTGTCCATCAATGCACACGATTAAAATTTTTTGTTGCAACAAATGCATGTACGAGATATATATAACAGCCTTAATACCGCATAGAAGCTATGTATCTATGTGTTATGCACACTTTCGTTAATTTTTATTTGAAAATAAATCTATCAAGACATATTTGAACTATAAACGGGCAGTAAATCTTACCCGGTTTGGATCTCCGGCTAAACAAACCGACTGGGCATGGGAGGTTGACCACGTAAACGCTACGAACCAGAGTACCAGCATACCCACAAGTTGGGATAATTTCCTGCAGTAGTAAGTTAAGAAATATGTACATGCTGGACTCTAATGCTGTCGAGAATGCATACGTAACATAAATAAATATTAGAATAAAGTTTGCCTTACATTTTGATTCTTTGGGTTTCAAGAACAACTAAATATTTCTTGGAATTTAATCTGTTTTATTTGGTGTCTCTTCTGAAAGGAAGACGTCGCGAGACTAAGATTTGTTCAGAACTGCGAAGATTATTTCATGGTCCGACAGTATGTCGCAAGATTTTCACGAGTAAGGTGCATGACCAAATTAATCACATGTATCCATACATATGTACATACGTAACTTATTGGGTTAGACGGCATACATAGTAAAGAAATTGTGTAATTTATGTACCCACAAAATATTGAGAACAAATATGCTTATTCATGAGTGAAATTCCACTCGTTTCAAGTAAAGTATGTATGTATGTACATACATATGTACATACTGATATTGTGCCCAACACACTTGTTACAGTAGAATTTAAGATGGCATGTCTTGACCTCCACACTGCTCGGCAGGGTGAAAAGGTGTTACTCATTTGCAAAAATTATTTAATGAATTTGCTGTATTATGTATGTATACATACTCTAAGAAATGTGGTTATAAATCTTAAAGGATTATTACCGAATGTAGAATATATGTATGTATGTATGTGACTCTACCGGTGCAGTAATAATGCGCATTACTGCTTAGTTACATATATGACGGTAATGAAAACGTTACCAGTTTGCAAGGTATCATTACGAACTGGGTCCGGTAGAGAGTCATCACCAAACCATTACTATGACGGGGTAACTATGTGACTCTACCAGATTTTTTATAGGGTATTTATGTATACATACATCCACGAACTTCAATTCGTACCTTAAAATTTCGTACAAATTTTACCTTAGTTTCACGCTCGTCGGGAAACCGTAACTCAAAATGTATTTATCTACATATTATTTTTTGGTTAAGAAGTTTGTGGGTAAAATTTAATCAATAAATTGAGCCCCACCCTTACACATACATACCTTCTTTCACAGTTAAAGTATCATTATGATTATCTTTTGAAGGAGCTTCTTTAACCGAACCGGGTAACGTGGGACTAGAGTAAAACAAGGTACTTAATTCTGTCTTTGTACTACATAAATAGTCCTCCACTTAGGTTAGCCTTTTCACAAACTTAACAAAGTCAACCTCAGCTTTAACAAAACGTTGCTTAAATAGAAACATACGTAGTTCCCATGCGGGGTAATGATTGCATCAAAATTAAATAACACTTTTCTTAGAGTGTACAAAGCTATGCGATGTGTATATATCAGGACATACATATGTACGTACGAAATACATAATTTTGTTAGTTATGAATATCTTAGTGTTTCATCCAGGGTACATATTTACCACACATTCTGCGTCACTTTTGTGTAGTTCAATGTCAAAATATTATACCCTCAGTAGTACATAGACATGTTTATGTATCTATGTATGTGCCCATGTACCCATACATGTATTTGTACAGATATGTATGCACCATACCTTTGTGTCCGCAGCGTCGTCGTTCGATGCGATCCAAAGTTCGTCTCAAAGGAGAACCTTATCTCAAATCTGGCCTGATCGGAGGACAAAGTACGGCAACATTTGCGTCGCATTAGCAAATAAAAGCCATATGGTTTTATAAATAATTTGGATTATCCATGTCTAAATAAATACGTTTTTATTTGGGCGGAGTTCTACTTGGTCTGCTAGTATTTTTCCTTAAACGTGCATACGTGTGTAGAATGTTGTATGTACATATGTACATATTTACCTACATACATAATATATACATAAATACATATCGTCGTTGAGCCTCCATTATGTACCAATTAGAAAAGCTGCGAGAACCATTATGTATTTACCACGACTGTTTTGGGGTGCACCGAGATTTTAATTTAGAAAAATTGGCCATTTAATTATCCACAAATATTTAGATTGGTCAAAACTAAAATTGGATGGTTTTGCATGTTTAAATTCAAAGAGGAAATTTTATATTTATCAGATGGGTACAACATTGACGAGCAAATAACTTCCAGACACCGATGAGCATGTAAAGTGTCATCATCGGCTGATGATTAGATTTTCCTTTGGAGAATTTTGCATCATATTTTTATCTGACTTTTTTCCATACGTCCAGACTGACTTCCTGTAATCCTTTGAATTTCCGAAACGTGTTTGGCTTGTCTTGAGGCTTTAAAAATTTCTTTCCTACTTAGGTTTTTGTTTCCAGGAAACTTGGGCTTTTTCCCTTCCGTGATTCCCAACTTTGGCCCAAGTACCATCGTCTTTATTTACATCAATGCAATTTTACTATATCTTTACAAATAGAAGTTCCAGTATTTTTATTTACGTGGAAATGTATAAAAATTTTTGTTGCAAAACAAAAACTCCCCTGAATCAGTTCAGATTGCTGATTATACTTTACAATAAAACAAATATTATTTGAAGTTGTGATGTTTGGAAAAGGGTGACACTTAACAAAAGGGTGACAGGAATTTGTATTTCAGGAATATTTCAGCTGGAAGAAGCCAATCGGGTAACCCACACAACTTTTTCCAAATTAGTTTGGATGGGACATGCGTCATTATATTTTGCATGTAACCATCGCATTGTTATATGTAGTTACCATGCTCAGTAGTTACCATGGCTACCATGGTAACTACTGGGCCCTGGCCAATTGACCAAAATTCGAAAGAGGGGACTCTGGGTCTGGGTCTCCGACCCTGACTCGGGCTAAACGATACAACACACTAGAGGAAGTCCAGGCCAAGTGTACTACAATACGAGTTTCCATACTTAGCGAGCGAGAGAGAGAGCAACTGATTTTTTGAGTATCCACCACCGCCGCAACCAGTTGTTACGATAGTGCCGTATGAGATTTACCTCATACGGTACGGAAATTTTAGAGTGGATATCATCATCATAAATTCTGATAAGCTAAATTTTTGAATTTGGAGCGAAATTGTAATTAAATTTCTGCATCCCATTAGTGACTGTCTGTTACGGCCCTTGCCCAAATAAGTCACTGCTTCAGAAACTTTGACCTCAAAAAAGTCGGTGTTACGGAACTTTTCCTTCGGACAACAAAAACTGAAAACGTAGCTCTTTCCATGTAGAAAAATCTGGCATTAGGTTGTCAGAAGTAAAAGTTCTGTAACAACGAGTTTTTTTGCGATTTGTGTATAGGCTAGAAACCCGCGAATTTTTGAATTTTGAAACTTTTAATGCACCAAAATATTCGTATTCAGGGAGGGATTCAAAAGTGAAATGCAAGTATATATCTAACCCTTGTTTTACCGAGTGTGCATTGATTTTCTCATTTTTCCCAATTTCCTTTTCAAAATTTTGAAAGGGGTGTAGTTGAACATTGTTCAAAATTAGTTATGCCACACTTGTCCTTATACCCGGAATTGCACATTGAATTTTTTAAATTAAATTCGGTGACATCGATGCGAAATGGAACGACACTTTTCAGTTGATTCACCTCACTAGTTTTTATATTATGCAGCACTCTCTGCGATGCACTTCTTTACTTTGCAACAATAAATATTGAAAAATAAATTACAGAAATTTTTATTTAAAGTTAAGTTCAGTGTAAAAGGGGACAAGTTTGAATTGAATTTTACCCGCCCCCAAGCGTTAAGTAATCATATGGGCATGTGATTTTGACGGTTGGAAATTCAACTTTCACATTTGTATAACTTTAACAATGAGTGCATGGGTATGTGTACATACATATTTAGAGAGAAAAATAAAAATTTTCTATAACCTTGCCATGCTTTCGTTCGTATGGGACGAATTTGGTTTAAGGCGAATGTTACCTTTTTCCCAGTAACAATGAAGAAGGAATCTATTTGTATCAAAAAGGTTGCCCTAAATACCGGTCGTATTTTGTATGTAGGACAGTACATACTTGCTTTTCCCTGTATGCACATGTTACTCTTTACTTACACACGAAGACGACGACGGAATAAAATTTGTAAAGACCTACATAATCCCACAAATATTAAATCAGTAAGGTGGGTCATTTATTGCAACTTGATTGAACTTTATCGTCTGATTTATTGCAAATTTTAAACCGAGTTAATATTTCCAGGGTAGTTCATTCCCACTTTGCTGTCGCTTTATATATTTGTAAAAATGGATTCGGAACGAGACCGGGAAAACTTTAAACAGCCCATGTTGCCATTTTGTTGCCTGAGGTAAATAATATGTACCTCTGTTTGTGCGCCCTCTTCTTGATATATACTTCAATACGAACTACATATAAATTTATAGCTAAATTACAAACATATTTATATATTTGACGTATCTGAAAAAGTGAATGAAAATATACACCTGCTAAAAATGCAAAAACTATGCATTATACCCAGATTTTAGAACGCATTGCAACCTTCCTTCCAAAAGCGGACCTTCTCGAGTGCACGTTCGTCAACACCACGTGGGAGCAGGAAGCCCGGAAATGTCTCCCTGGTATCTATCGGATCATGCTGATCCGGCCGAACGTCCGCTATCAAAAACTCATTGGTTACGACAATTTTTCCACTTTAAGCACAGGTTTTGGAGATTTCATTGCTAAAAATGGACCCTACGTGAGAACCCTGGATGTGATTTTGTACCTCCAAAATCCCGCGTGGAACAAATATTTGTCAAAATTATTTCCCAACCTGCATTCTCTCAAACTAAATGTATCGTTTACTAAAAATATTTCGTTTCGTGAAATATTGCTTCCCGAAAAATATTGCTTCTCGAGAGTAAGGAAACTCGAAATCCGGTCGATCCACGGGCAGACGGAATCGCCAGAATTTGAAGACACATTTGTCTCAATTTTCCCAAAATTAGTGGCACTATTTCCCAATGTCGTCTTTCTTTCGAGCCGGCGCTGTGATCAATTCGTGGTTGAAAACTTTCTCAAGTTATCCCCGCCAAGGATAAAAGCTTTAAAATTCGTCAACCTAGAATTAACGCGCGTAATGCGGGAAAATGTTTCAAACCTCACCCGTCTAGAATTAGGTCACTATTTGTGTAACTGGCAGACTTACTCGGAATTCTTGAAACTTACATCGGCAACTGTACGACACGTTAAATTATTCAACGTAGCCAGTTGTGATCCTGCCTACGTCCCAACTTTTTCATCTCGTCAAGCCATTGTTTTTCCAATTATGTCAAAATTAAGAGTTTTCGAACTTTCGTTAAGTCATTGCACCATTGGGAGGAAATTTAAACCTTTCCTGGTGACACCGGATATATATTTAATCTTTGAAAATGGTGATACAAATGGGAGGTTGGATTATCCCGTTCAGTTCCCAATCCTGGAAAAGATTAAGATTTCCAGAGAAGAAATGTTCTATCATTTTAGTAAAGAAGTGACCGAGAAGAGATTAACGGGGTGGGAATATTTTGAGACGAGCGTGTCATTTTTGTACAGGTATTTCCTCCATGACAGCAGTTCGAAAGGCATCAGGGTGAAATATTTGGATATCCCGTTTCCTCCGGGGGACAGTTTTCGATTGACACCTGCTGCGAAATGTAACTGCGAGAAGGCACGTGTTTTGTGTGAATGTGTTGAGGTGAAGAGTTACTCCGAATTTTGGGACCGAGTGGTGGAAGTTTTCCCAAATTTGGAGATATACAAGGTCACTGAGGGAGCGAGGGAGAGGGCCAAGGTGCGGAGAGTGACCACCGCGAAGGTGGAGAAGATGAAGGACAATGATGAATGATGGAGATGGAAGATGATGATAGGATTATGGAAGTAAAATCGTGCCGTTGTTAATGTTTGTGGTTTACTGGATGTGTTGGGTTTGCTCAGCTTTCTTCTCTTGTTTTTCGAAAGACACAAACTAAATGTAAACGAGCAGCGCTCCTTTACTAAATTAGTGCATATTCTTTAACCTATGTAAAATTGTTACAGCAGGGGGTTGTGTAAATATAAATAAATACATAGAATTTTTGTTAACTTAATGCAATGTCAGTATCGAATATGTAGGTTAATTAGGCATGTATTCATTATAAATAATACCTAATTTGTAGAGTAGTAACAAAGTGAAAGTGAGTTTACCTTCTCCTCCATGCGGTACGGCCTTTATTTTATGTAGTTGATTTGGTGAACTAATATTCTTTGTTTTGATGATTTTTTTATGATTACGATTTAATGTATTGTCACGCATGGCCTGATTAACAGGATTAAACAATGTAAATAAAAAAAATCAATTTACCGGTTTAAATATGTAGGTTTAAATAATTTAACCAAAAAAATAATATAATTTAAAAGTTTGAGGAGTAGGTGAGCAAACGAGGGAGAAGTTGAGGTCTTACCAGGGGAGCTGGGACGCGGCTGACAGCATACCTATTTTTCATCACTTCGTCATGTCATACATATCTCTTCGTAGACTGCGGATTCAGAGAAATTACTCAAGAAAGGTTATTTGTGATTTTGAGTTTGATTTTGTGAGATGTGTCTCATCCAATTCTGAATACTTATTACATGTGAAACACCTACATACATACATTGTAAGTGCATTCGTGCATACATAAATAAATACTTACGTATGTATTTACATGCATATGTACATCCATATGCACATACATGCTGGGGCTTATCCACATATAATTAGATATGTGCATACATATGTATGTATTTGTTTTGTATTTATGTATTTGGTCAATCTATGTGCGTGTTCGTTATGTAGTAAGTTACATTATCGTGAGAAACTGAACCGAGACTGGGTCCAAGTCTGGATTTTTTGTTCGTCTGAAAATGTAACACGAACTGTGACAGAATTGCACATTATTCTCTTAAATTATTCTCTTAAACGTGGGCACCTGCGTGAAGCATGTCACCATTTGATAGTCAACTGACACATCAAGGCATCCCATCGTGCAATTGTTTAATCATGAATAAGTATGAGTGTACAATCAGATAATTGGAATTAATGAAAGTTAGAACCTTTAATAATTTTGGCCTCATTCTTTACGTTTGGACCGCAACTTTTTCATTTTCACATCCATAATCCATTCTGCTTCATAATATTCTGATCAGGGTTCAAATTTCAATAAGTGAATTCTGCACCATGTCTTTGCTATTTCAGGATAGCCATACATACATGACCAAAGGTAGTCGCCATATGTACATACATATGTCGTGGCGAAATTTACGATTTAAAAATACTTCCCGTAATTAATACATGTTACAAATTTTTGTTTTTAAGTTGTATCTAAATTGGTTACCTATGTACATATTTATGACTGGATGATCCTTTGGATTGTTCGACTTAATCTGGTAACTTATTTAGTAACGAGTTGACGAATTATGGCCCAACTGGATCGTTTATGTATGTTGTTTATTCAGATAAGTTGATATGACGTGGTTTTAGGGTGGATGTGGAGTATTAATTGAATTGCGCGTGGAATAAGAAGGTCGGTACGAGTCGACATGGCGAACGCCACCAACTACTCCTCCTCCTCTGGTACCTTGTCTCCTACTGAGGACAACAACCCCACCTTCCTCTTCACCTCCACCACACCCATGAAAAATTGCATCACCGCCTTCGACACTAACAGGTGAGAAATATATTTATGTATATTTACGTAAATACAACTGTGTATGTAAGGTCATTTAAAAAATTAGAAACTGCCTTTGTATCATTCATCCCGTCATGACGATGAGTAAAACAAATATTTTGCTTACTGGGCGGTCACGTGGGGCCCGTGGCACCCCGTAATAAAATAGGAGATGGATTTCACTGTGACTCGAACATGTACATAGTCAAGTCACATGTATAGTATTTATGATAATGGTTAGAGCCCCTTACTTTCATTGTCACATGCTGTGACTCACATGTAGTCACGTCAGGTCAGGTTCAACATGTTGTCACTATAACTCACATGGTCACGGGTGGCAAATGCCATTAATTATATTCAGGGACCGTCCATGTATAACGTCGTCATAAAATTTTTGTCTCATGTTTTACACTAACCGTTGAGATTTGAGTGGTAAATAAAATAGGTAGGTGGGGAAGATACTATTTAGGAAATGAGATTTTTTTACAAAATGCTCCACAGCGGTCTAATAGTTTTTTTCCAAGTGTAATTAGGGTTGCCATTCATTTGTGAGTAATGCGAGCACTATCCAGACTAATTTATGGACCCATCTTAATGAAATTCTCAAAAAACTGTAATCCAATAAATTTTCTGATTTCTGTCATTTGTACATAAATGTTCTATTTGTCCCCACAACCTAATTATGTATCCAGCTCATCGGGAGTGGCGCAGCATTATTATTATTAGTATCAAGTCACCCTCGTTCTGAGTATGTAGAATTTCGTCATGTTCATTTGTCAATGCAACCCAGATATAAAAGACATGAGCTTGATTATTTTTGTGTATTTAATTAGCAAGTAGTAGGTCAGAAGAGAAAAGAATAGAATGGACATTATAGTAGTATCAGTAATTTAATAATGTTTCTTTAGTCTATTTACTAAAATCAATGCTCACATATTTACATGTTGACATGTTTGGCTGGTGTGTTTGTTTCGATTTAACAGCTCTGAATTAACCAGACGTCATACATAGTTTTCTTAGGGCTGGATGAGAAACTAGATTTTTTTACGATGTGGGGCTGGCTATAATTTTGTTAAGTGTACAAAAATTGTAATGTCTGAGTAATTCAAGGATTTCTTAATTGCATGGATATCTCATGCCATGATTTACACAAGTAGTGTACGTATTTATAATGATAATTACGCCACTTTTCTAATAAAAGAAGCCCTAATAAAACTTTTAGTAAGGCTGTTGCTACTATATTTCCATTCGGATCAGTTCCTAACATATGTGTAAGTATTCATCACTTTTATGTATTTGCTTTTAGGGATGGGTGTTTAAATTACCAAGAATTTACAATGTTGTGCCAAGCTTTGTTTCGCAATGAGCGGGATGAGCCGTACCACATTGATCCAAAATCATTAAAGGAGATGTTTGATACGTTCGACGTAAATGAGGTATGTATGTAAAATATTGAGTAGAATGTCCCAGTTGTTACTTGTACATATGTATATTTTGCAATGTGCTTTTGTAAATTAATATTTGTGCTGATGTTTTTGTTTTAATGATCATAGGATGGTTTAATTGGCGAAAAGGAATTTGAATCATGTTGGGAGAAATGGGTTCGCAAGGTATGTTCATTATGTTTGCCTACCTGGCAAATATATTTATTCACATTTCAGTAAATCATTGCAATAAAGTTGATGGATATAAGAGACCCGAAAATGTATTCAACACGGATACATAATCCCAAAATTGTCGCCACCCATCACTTTGTCATGATTATGGTTTACCTCGTACATACAGAAATAGTTGGTTTTCGATCGTGCTGTACAGTAGTATGAATGGGGCCCTGGTTATAATCATTCAATCACAGGTGTCGTTTGTTCAGGTAGAGAACTATTCTTCTCGACTCATTAAAACTTTCAAGTAACAGGTATAGGACAAATACCGGCGCTTATTTACCGGCGCTCAGTTTCCTGCCCTCAGCTTCCGGCGCACAGTTACCGGCAATACTTATTTTCCTGCGCCACGGTGATGAGATATGTAAATTTTGGCATTTTTGTTATTCGGCGACCAATACACCTTCGGTGTCCATTCCTCCCAAAGGAACCTTGCACCTCACCTCGGCGACGATAAGCCCAAATCCTTCAGGGACCGAGATATTGCACCTCAAACCTAATTCGCATTTCAAACACATGCATTTCATACTGAGCGCCGGTAAATGAGCGTAAGAAAATGAGTATCGCCGGTAACTGAGTCCCGGTAAATAAGCGTCGGTAACTGAGCCCCGGTAAATAAGCGCCGGTATCTGAGTGCCGGTAAATAAGCGTCGGTAATTGTCCGGCTCCCCAAGTAACTACTGACCAGAAAATTATAAATAATGAAGAATCTTCTTCAATGCTCCGATCGAATCGAAATAATTCGATTGAATCCGTCGAATTTAAATCTGCTTTAGGAAAACTTTGATTCGAAATCTTCGAACTCAACTCAACTTCAATTGAACCGATTAGCCAATCCGGTCGAATCGAAGTGAGCAGCCGACTCGATTCGTTCAAATCGAATTAAAGCTGTCCCATAAGATGCGATCTTAGAATTCGATTCGGTTCGACCTAGATTGGAATAGAACTAGGACTGAGATTCGGTTCAACCGATTCGAACTGTTTGCTCACTTCGATTCGAATTTTCCAATCGAATTAAAATAACGCCCGAATCGAATCGAGCATGTGAAACCAATCGTTCGTTAGAACCTAATTCGGAGCAATGATCTCCTTCATCAAACGAGCTGGGTACTTCTTAATAGGTGCACATCCGTGATGGTGACCATATATTCAGGCAGTATGCAAATATGTGGCTTCATCTATTTATCATGCTTCCGGAAAGGATAATTAACGCCGAATACGAAAAAAATTAACCAAGTTTTCCTTATTTCCTAGATTGTTCGTCCCATCGCAGCACTCGTCGTGGTGGATGTACAAAACGACTTTATCTCGGGCTCACTGTCCATTTCCAACTGCTCCGCGAAACAAATGGTGAAGAGGTAAGAACAACATGTGTACATACATGTGCGCATTTTCACTACATTTTGACCCACTCTACATAAGAATAAACAGGTTCGGATATATTTATCATGATCCCAAATTGATCCTACAAAATTATTATGATTTCTCATTGACTCGATCGTCCTGGTGTATCATGCGTGCAACGAAAAATATTTATATCGATAACCATAATGCCACAAAGGACTTATATATTCCGTGATCGATTGCTTTCACTTGTGTAAATATGTAGCTCTCGACAGTTTTATGGACACGTCTTTGTGAGGAGAAGAGAGAACAGAGTTAATTATAGACGGGAGTGAAAGTGATTGTATTTGGTTTTGATAATGAGACGCCCATGTTTTGTAACAGAGAGAATGTAATCCATTCCAGGTAGTAGAGCCAATCAATCGCCTCTTGGACTCGGTCGAGTTTAAGTCTGTCTACTACACGCTGGACTGGCACCCCGAAAACCATATTTCATTTCTGGATAATATCAACCAAAGGAAGCTTCATTTCAGCAGCAAAGTAAGTGAATGGTGGGGTAAAGAGATATTTAGACCCTATTTCACATTGTAATTTCTACCGCCGCAATCACGTCCCAATACATATGACCAAATAGCATTGAGATCAGCAGAAATTTGATTCAAATTCTGATTAAACTAAACTGAAATGGGTTTTAATCACAGTACACGAATAGTGAGACGAAAGTTCCGCTTATCTAAGAAAAGAATACTTCGAAAGAGATTTTACACCTTTTCGCTCGTCTTCGCTCTGCCTGATTGGCTGGAGGTTCTGTCAAACCCACCAAAATACCTCTGAGTATTTGTTGTACTACCCCATTCATCCCCTCCGTCACGCATACTCTGTCATCTCCTGGCACACACTCTACCCTCTCTGTTTTTTGGGAGAAAGTGCCGTACATGCACCAGCCTGTTGCTTAAATAGATTTTATTCTCAAAATGGCATAAATTTATGGCTGATCCATACGCTACGGCACTTGCCCCCCCAACAACAGCAGGAGTGTTTGCCAGGGGCCGATAGAATACGCATGACGGGGCGAATGTAATGCGTGCCTGGATAAATACTGAGAGGTATCTTGGTGGGTTTGGTAGAACTTCCAGCCAATCAGGCAGAGCGAAGACCAACGAAAAGGTGAAAAAATCTCTTATGACCGTTCGTTTCTATAGAAAGCGGAGCTTTCGACCGAATATTAATTTTCTTTGGGTTTTAATAATATGGAAGACCACAAGCTCATTTTTTCACGACTGCCAATATGTACAGATTCCAAATCCGGATGACGCCAAGTTGTACGACACTGTGACGTTTGAAGGCCCGCCGGTAATGGAGCAGACTTTATGGCCCAGGCATTGTGTGCAAAATTCATGGGGAGCTAAAATGCATGCAAATTTGAAGGTAATTAATGAATTACCTAGAAATCATTTGAGCTAAAATGTACTAAACAATTATTCTTCTTGTCACATAATCACTCAGATAATTGAGGGGAGTAGATTTATCTACAAGGGAACAAATCCCAATGTCGACTCGTACTCTGCATTCTGGGACAACTTGAAACTCTCTGAGACCGGTTTAATTAATGAATTAGAGAGTACGGGTGTAACTGACTGCTACGTTTGTGGACTTGCATACAACGTGTGTGTGGGTAAGTGTGGAGACAAAAAATGGTGATCTAATGGAATATGCATTTATGTAATGTTCATTAAGTCGTGAGACTCTACGTAAGACCAGTTTATTAGAAAACACAAAGTCAAAATTTTAACATTTTGACATGCTTGTGGACGGCTTCTTCGCGTACATCTTGGCCACTGTGTTGATAACTTTGGTGGTGGACTGGGACACCGGAAGACCTTGTACTTTTTTTAACTTAGCTGATCTTGTAGTATCATACATTCACACGTAACGGTAAATTGAGGGTTTTGGAATATTTTCGTTTTTGAAGTCGTGATACGTCTTATTCAGGTCCAAATTGGCCACGTTTTTGTAAAAGTGCACCACTCGATTTGATATAGCTTGTTTTTCTTGTAGTCCCATGTTGGCTGTATTTAATTGACTACCTTTTTGGCATATAATTTTATTATTACATCGGTTTAACTACAAGATGAAATTAATCAGACAAACAATATTCATTTTCCCTACCTCGGGTGATGATAAACAAATCGTCTCACGACTTAATGAACACACCTTACGTAAATGTACAAATTAACTCATATTTTGATCAGGTGCGACTGCCTTGCACGCCTTGGAACTCGGCTACCGCACTGTCCTTATTAACGACGCGTCTCGTGGAATCTCTTTGGAAGATATTCAAGCAACAAAAGAAAAGTTGAGTGCAAATCACGGCGTTGTTATTCATTCCGATCAGGTGAGTTAATTCATTACCTGTTACAATTTCGTACAATTTTGCTATACATACGCTGAATGAATATGCTCATAGTTGAATTTTAAAAATACGAATTTTCAGGTGAAGGATATAGTGCAAGGGAGAGACAGACGGCCAGAACTGGGACTTAAATTAGCTCTTGAAATCAGAAAGCAGGTAAAGCGCTAGAATATAATGAATGACGAATAGCATTCATGAGTTGTTACGTAGTCTCTCTTATTAATATAGTGCTGCATAATTTATTCTTCCTATTAGTAAATATTTTTGCTTATGAAAGCTAATGAAAATATGCTAGTTTGCTATATGTACAATCTTAGCTCGACTACTACATCCGCTAGTTGTAATAAATACATGAGGGTAAAGGATTGTTATTATTATTACTATTATTATTTATTATTACAACGAGGAATGAGTTAACATGATCAGGAGTTGATGTATTCAGAGATAAATTGAATAAAATTTGCATATGTAATTTACCTGCCAGCTGCATTAGGTAAGGTTAAGGCATTGAGAAAAGTATAAATAAATAAAATTATATTCCACCATTTCGTGTATTTATTCTGTAGCAAATTGTGCCACTTACTGAAATCTTCGTGTTTGTATTTGCGTGTTATGGGTACATCGAAATTAACCACTCGAGCGAACATTGAGGTTATTGCAAGGATAAAACCAGGCTTCAATTGTAAGTTGCAGATGCATTAATTTCTCCACAGTCGGAAAGAAGAATGAAGTATTGCCAGGAAGTTCGTGCACTGAACAATTACGACATTTATCATAAAATTCAAATTGAATTATTACATGCGTATATAATACCTAAGGCATGGTCATTATGTCATTAATGTTTCAGACTAATTCGGAAAAGGCATGCTGCGCAGGAACGCAATAATCTTTTTTGCGCAAAAATTATTTCCAAGTAAATATGTATGTAGACCAAGTTATGTATTGGGATTAAGTTGCCATTGGTTAACTATGTATCTTTTATTCATTGCTAAAGGTAAAAGAACTTGAATTGAAGATCAAAGTTGTCAAAATGAGTAATTGGGTTTGCAAAAATAAAGCAACCAGTATGTACATATAAAATTGCTGGACATTTTTTACACAGGAATGTATTTCTAATCTATGTACATAATACCTATCATTAAATTTTAAAACAATACCAGGAATTCTATGATGTCACATTCAAACTATAAAGCGGTCGACCTAAGAAGCTATCGAATTTATGTATAAAATAGAATAAAAAACTCAATAATCATTCATCGACTTTGGCGACGATGGCGGAAGGTGATATCAAGATTTACAAAAACTACGCGAGTAACATTTACGCCATGTGCACTTGGCATTAAAGCGAGGACAAAAAAATTAGCCCGAAATTACAAACTTACGCAAGCTGAAAGAATTCAAGAATGCTGCATGCAAGAAATTGCTACAGGAGAAGCGCGGAAAAGTGGTCATCATGGAGGATTCGACCAACGTGACCGTTTCCCCTTTCAACCTTACGGGGAGGCATTTTTATCATAGCTCCAACCCCGATGAAGTTAAAATGAAGACAGAATCCGGAAAAAGATAAATTCCCAAAAAAATAAAATAGTACATATTTGGCAATGCATTTAAAGTTCCGGTCATGTTTCAGATTCACTCATTTTGGAAGGTACTGCCAACCAAGACGTTTATCTTCGGATGTGTATGTATTAAATACGGATTGGAAGCACTTCTGTATAACCAAATTTCACACAAATGCGGAAATTTTGTTTTGGCCTCACCCACATCCATCCCACTACGACAAACGGTCACGGACTAATTAACTCCAAAAAAAATTGAAGGGGCAAGAAATGAGAATCCGCCAAATGCCAATGCCTAAATTGCACCAAATTGCGACATTCTGTGCATTCTAGGCGTTCGAAAATATTAAGGCGGGAAGGCCAAGGAAATTAAAAACCATTACCTTGCCTCCCCTTTGTATGCGCGGATACATAAACACGCTAAATGAACCGACAAACCCACCTTTAAAAGCAGCGAGAACGTACATACATATATAATAAGTATAGTTGCTTTTGCTAAAATGTAAATCCAAAATAAAATAAAGCCAACTTATGACGTAACTTATTATAATAATTTTAAGTCGACTTCTGTCGTTTCCTCGACACATATACATATGTATAACTTATGTATAAATTACGTCATACATAAAAATTTTAGGCTAACAGTTATATATTTATTAATGGTTGCTCCAAGTATCTATTAATTATTGGTTGAGTTAAAAGTACTTTTCTGAGCCAGTCCGAAACATTACATAGTGTCCATCCTTTAATTTTATAAATAGCAAGTGAATGTTAGATTAGCAAATTCTAAAGTTTAAATTTAATTTATTTTTCGAGAATTCACTATAGCAATCAAAAACTCCTACCAACACGAACCCCTCATCGTGACTCTGACTTAATGGAATGAATTCTAAATAACCAGTTGACACGACATGCATGCTCTTTATATAAAGTTTCCAAAATGAATGAAAAGCTCGCATAAATTCAGCACATAAACGAAAAGAATTCTGCAAAAATGAAACCAATCTACGTTTTCACGCTTATTTTATATTTTTCTGGGCAAGGTAAATTTCATTTCTGAATCATCCCGTTTAAATAAATATGTAATTAACACGTTTCTATGTTTTGTTCCCTTTAGATTTGTGCAACGGAGAGCATATCCTATGCAAAATTGGGCAAGAGCTTTGCGGCCGGCGATGCTACAATTCCACGATACTCAAGTGTTTAAACAACTCTACAGTTGAATCCAGTATTTTGTGTGGGACGAACGAGCTGGCCTGCGGAAAAGGACTTGGGGCCTCCTGTTTCAACCCAAATTCGAAAGTATGTTACACTAGTAAAAAGAGGGCTACCGGAAATACTCCCGTGGAATTGGTGGCACTGTGTGACAAGAACGAAAAGGCCTGCAATACGTTGTATTGGCTAACCTGTTACAATCCTGAACTTTTCGCATGCCTCCTGGTGACAGGGAAGGATGAAACCTTTGGATTAGTGGAGACAAGTCCTACAATCTAGAATCCCACGAAAACTCCAAACTCGACGCGGAATGCTTGACTCCAGTCTGTGAAGGATTTTGTTGTGATTTTTGCACCAAATTGATAATTAAAAGAGCAGCAATAAAAGCATAAATTCAAACATATGTGATTAGAAATAAATACAAGGGAGATCAAACACATTTAATTTTGTGTATATGTTCCCTGTACAAAAATCTACAAACCCCTGGAAATTTTTGTTACAGTAGATATAAATAGGTACGTTACATTTAATTATCAATGGACCTTGTGGACAAGGTACATGAGTTTTATATTATGCAGATAGCCCGGCCGTGATGTTGCCCTGAATTTTTACTATGTTGTACATACTTATCGACATGCTGAATGAAAGTTTACTTCGAAATTTTATAAAATAAAATTCGAAATTTGAATGATTAATAAAATTGTAAAAATTATTTTTAAACTCGCAAAGTTTGTCCAACTTCCTAAGAAAATCGGAAAAAATTTGGCAGACTTCGAGGTTAAGAATTTCCCCAACCCCAGCTTCCCTTCATATGTTCACTTTCGCCACCCATTTTGCAAATATTGGATGCAATTTAAAAATTCGAGTGTGAGTTTTACAGAAATTATTTCAACGTTCATGGAAATAATAGTATGATGCATGCACAAAGGAAAATTAGAACTCATATTTCAGCCATCACCTGAAAAGCTTCTGAGGCGAGTCATGAATGCTTCGTTACTAAAATGCCAGAATGGTACAAGGTAAACATTTTAAGGTCCCCAATAATACCGCCCCTCATGCATATAAAGTATTTGGCTCCTGGCACAATTATGAGTTTTGCAATCAGACAATAAATAAATAATTAGAACTTTGTATGATTTGAATAAGGTACTTTCCTTCCCAGCAGATCGTATTGTCCGTTATTGCACCAAATGCATTTAGATTGGTTCCTTGCTTTAAATCAATTCCTACATATCCTCATCAAACGTTGGAAAGATTCTGTATTTAAATATGTACAGGGGATTAGTAATCCTTATTTGCAAAGACGATAACCGCACCTTATAATTGTATACGGTGTTTATGAATTTATTTTGTTTTTGGAACAAGTTTCCCAGACTACTGGGTAACCAAACTGAATCGTCGTTGCCATGAATTCATTACTTTTCCTACATCTTCAAGAGTAATCTTCCTCCACTAATCATTAACAACAATCAGTCTTAAATGGGGCCATTGCTTTAATAATCCAAAAATCCGTGGGACTTGCATAAGGTGGCTTTACTGGTACCTCAGTTATTGAATAACTGTTATTCCAAATTTTTGTTTCAAATCAGCTGCATACTGGGTCGACAGTCTGGTGGTTTGTGAGGTAGGGGGTTATGGCAAAGAAAAACTTTATCGGTCACCTTTATTTACTTCCTCCCATGAAACAACCTTTAATTGAATAGTCACTTACATAATACAAAAGGATAATTTCACCCATGCTATTTCATAGGGGGTAGAAAAACATAAACAGTTTAACAATTCCAGATATTAGTGGGATTTAACTAGGGTTGCAAGTGGTATAAACCATTTTCCCCAGGACAGTGGGAAACAATGGGAAAAATTCAATTTTTAGCACCTACTAAAATCAGTTGGAAATGGGAAAAATTGGGAAATTTGTTAGTTCTTATGCGAATAGCACTAGGTGGCCCTAGTTTTTCCAATTTTCCCCATTTCCTATTTTTCCCACTTTTTTCCCTTTCCTAGTAGGAAAAATTATTTTGGACGGTTAATAAAGCATTTTGGACGGGAAGTACATATGCAACCCTGGATTTAACTTGAAACGGAACCCCTTGGCGTGGTTGGCTTGTTTTCATAGTCAGTCTGCCCACTTTATTTCCCACGAGAGGTTGTTAGATTTCGACGTTACTAGGCCATTGTTCGTAAAATCCCTGCCGTGTACAGGTCTGTCCCACTGTAAACCTCAAATCGTCAGCACAAGCACTCCACAAAATTCTTTTGGAGGTTTTCACGGATAACGGTTAGACGATGCAAATGCATTGTACATGGGGGCCACTAAATGTAATAAGCATATCATGTCAAACCCTGTCCTCTGTAAGACAGAATTCAACAGACGCTAGGAATACTAATCATGTTGTTCCGTCCCGTATAATATAGAATACCAGATATGAAACACATTGAGATACAGGGTACAAGATACTTTTACAAACATGTATCAAACGATTGAGCATGTGTGCACAACCACCAGACTCAATTTTAATATTGCCTAGAAAGTTTATTTTTATCATTATCAAAAACACCGAACCATGTGTTCAATATTATAAGTTGAACTAACAAATAAATCTGGTCCGATTCAAATTCGAGCGTACCACTTCACGCCTACGCATTGTTAGTAGAAGCAGAAGTTCTGTCCAAAGATAAAAGTATCGTAGCTAGAAAGTTTATTGAGAAATTAAAAAATGATATATTACAAGAAAGCCCATTAACTTTGCTACAAATTATGCCGCTTAGATTTCGAAATGTCCTTCCTTAGCGGCAACGCAGGCCTTGAGTCTCGGGATCCACTGCTCGACCGCAGTACGCACGCCTGCTAGCGGATAAGCACCCCATTTCTCGATCAGTGATTTTTTAACAGAATCCAAACGTTTGTGTAGTGTTACACATGTACCTGGCTCCAATGTAGACCATCTGTCATAGTCTTGGGTACTGAGGTCCGCCGAGACTCATTACCAATTCATCACTATGACGGGGTAACTAAATATGTACTTGACTTTACCAGATTTTTTAAAGTGTACATGTGCGCTAAACGGAAGGTTTGTAATTTCAACATTACTGGAGGGAATAACAAATTTAAGTCAAGCTTAATAAAATCCGCAACATAATCATATTTACTTAACTTAAACTTCAGGACAAGTATTGGAATAGGGTGTGTAACATTATCAGCAAATTGTAAATATCATGAACGAAAATTCAAGACTGCAAAGTAATTTAGGATTGGAAGGGTCATGAGGGGCTGATATTGGCCCCCAGGGGTGACCTAAGGGTCACAGAGTGGCGAAATATTTTTTTCTACACTCTACTAATTATAATCTTTGAAATGCCACCGCATTTGAGGGGAGTCATGAGGGGTTGACATTGGACCCTTCAAGGGCCCCTAGGGGTGACCTAAGGGTCACGGACGTAAGTGGCATTTTTTTTAAACACCTCTCCTCGATCTTCATAATTGCACAATAAAAGTGCAAAGTTTTCAATTTTTCGCCGGTGACGTGTTGGTTGTGTTGATCCTTATTCGGCGTAAGGAGTCAAAGAGCTAAGAGCAACAACAACAGTACCACAGTGTAGTTGGAGCATGTAAGCTACAATACCCACTAATAATGAGAAAAGTTGCGTATGCTCCGCTATTAATCAGCTCTTCATATATATGATGATGCTACATGACGTCGCAGTGGAACGTCGCACGTCGCACGCTACCTTCCATGCGAGCCACCATACCAACTTACTAATGCTGAGCGTAGCAGCGTAAACTCTGCTCGTCTGCTACTCCAGCACTGGGTGGTTGACAGTGCTGGAGCGATAGAATGAGTTCTGGCTGGTTACGCTCACTGGTTACGGACGGACGGCTGCAACAGCTCTTAATATATGTATAGATAATGAAAAAATTTTAAAAAAGTAAGTTTGACATCGGATATGATAAAGCAACTCTCCAGGATCAAGAAAACGCAAAAATGGAGTTAAAATCCGAGTAAAACTGAATTTTTGGTGAAGGTTTAAATGGGGCTAGATTAGCATTGGGCGCCCCTTTGAAGGGGTGTGGCGGGCGCAAGTGGGGCCATGGAGTAAGATCCTTCACTTTACCTAGAATCGCCTAGGACTAAAACATATCCAAAGGGCATCAAAATCGGTGAGTTAGATGTAGAGGTGTTTTCCTCCTAAGTATCAATGAGTGCAGTCTCCGAGAGACGATACTCTCATCTGCCTAACCTGCGCCGAACTTCCTATGTCTCAATGTTGAGTGGATCCCAACTTGGCCAAAGTTGAAATCCACGTCATTAAATATTCACAAAATATTATTTTTATCTCATGGCCTTTGCAATCCAAATTAATACTGGAAAATATAATACTGGATATTCTCGTAATTCATACCGGAAAGAATAATGACAACGCCGATGGTCGTCAGACAAGATGTAATTGTAAGTAATGTTTAATACTGCACAGATATCTTGTTCTATAATAAGCACATTTTGCATTGTAGTTTATGTGGTGCTCGGAACTGTGCACAATAATCAAATATGTGTTTATCGTTATTTTGGGCCATGTTAGGCCAGGGATTATAATTTAAAATCTACTAAACTTACTACTGATGGGCCCACTTAATAGTAAGTTACAATTAAAGGGCCCAATAAGCGCAATGTATATAAGTATCACTACTTCACACAAAAATCATTTTACTCCAATCTGTTGAAGCGTTGTTATTCTCATTCTCCGGACCATGAGAGGTCTCCGACCGAGGGGCAATAAAACTGCAGACTTAGGAACTGAGAAAACAAGAGCTGGCATGGTGAGAAAAGAAGTCGCATTCTTGCTTAAGTCAAGCCAAATCATCCTTTATTCACGTGTAAATAGATATCAGATTACAAAACTGGTTTGAAATCCATGAAACAAATAATTGTAATTTACGGTGTAACCTAGGGTCGATATCCAGTTGCAATCAGTTTCATAACAAGGGCGAGTATTTATGTTGTTCATTGTAATATTATTCTATACCATACTTCTCAGATAAGCCATTACATGATTCAGTAACCTAAGGGAAAAGTTGAGTAGCGTTCAATATACGAGTTTGAATAATACAAAATTGGTTAAGGATTTTAACTAATTAACGCAGTAGTATATTGTAATATACACATATACATTTATTTTTTTTGCAGGGGTCATTTCTCATTGTAATTTGTATAATGATAGAAAACATTCTGGACAAGCCCAATTTCTAGTAGATAGTATGTTAATATATGGTTTTATAGAAATATGTACATATATTACAACGGTTTTTATGAAAATGGTTAAAACAATATAAACATCGTAGAAATCAAACCTCGCCATTGTCCGTATCCTGGTCTTGCTTAAGAAATATAGAAAATTTGTCCGATTGTAGGTTATTGCTGAGCCAAGGTGAAGAACTGCCTTTCCTTTTGCCGGCCTAACGCCCCCACGTGGTCCCACAATTCGAAATAAAGATTTCTGACCTGGGTGCTGACAGCTGACAATGTTGACATATGCATTATCTTCTGGAGAACCAAAATTCAAAACTTGGTTTATGCTTGAAGAACAGCGACGTTCTTCCCCGTTCTGAAACCCTTATCATGGTCATGAATTATCGCCACATTTGTCATAAATACATACCTACATAAATTGTTCGTGATGGGACTACTAATTA